GACTCAAAGGCTATGTTCTTACCTCCAGGCACAAGTTGGCTCTGATACCAGGGCTTAAAAACTGTTCCAGTCAACCAGCCCCACAGGCAGCTCTGAGGTCCCTGGTCCCTGCCCAGCACCCCCTCCCTGCCTTTTTAGCACCCCGCTGGCACCATGGGCCACATGGCAGAACAAGAAAATTTGGGCCAATGACCATCATCCCACAGCACCCTGGTCAAAGGTAGGCTCAGGACACCTGCCACCAAGTCTTCCACACAGATGGTGACAAAATGCCTGACGTTAACTTATTTTTTCACAGGTCTCAACACATCTGAGCCCTAAAACTATTGTGCTCACAAGGGCCTGTGTTATTTTCTTCATCTGATAGAAAACTAAGCCAGTGAAGGGAAGTAATAATCTCTGTGCCCCATAGCTTAAGGGCTGGCAGGGTTGGTTGTCTGTCTTAGAAGTGAGTCACCTCTGTCTGGTCTGGTCCTCCCCTCCAGGACTGGGGATGGGCCAGCCAAAGGAGGGTAACGGGCGAAGCTCTGTGTAGCCACAGTTCACCTCTTTGGCCTTAGAGAGCAGAGACTTCTTATTGGATCCTGGAGCGCCTGCAAAAGACCTGACCCAGAACCTCAGGGCTAGGTGAGGCAGAACCCTGGTCCTCACTGACTCAGAACCCACCTTGGGGGAGGCCGGGGCTGTGGTGGGGAGCTCTGGGGACTTGAAATGTGCTACAGCACACCCCAGTCTAGGGAGAAGGGGGCAAGAGGCTCTGGGGTCATCTGGGGATGGCTATGACCTTGATCCCCCCAACCCACTTCAAGAATGAGACATCAGCCCCACACTGGGAGCAAGAGGGAATAAATGCGGGGAAATAATTCATGGTCATGCTCTCATCAGAGGGCAATGGATGAAAATGCTGTCTTCCCGTCTTTCCAGGGGCATCTGGAGGGAGAAGAGGCCAGGTCACGTGGCCAGGATGCTTCAGAAATTACATCTCCGGGAATTACATCACAGAAGCTAAAGCTCACACAGGCCAATCTCTCCCTACTGCTGGGGTGCCTAAGCAGGAAAGGGTTCTGGGGAGTTGTAGCAGCAGGAACCTAGAGCTCTGTCTCAAGAAGAAAGCATGGCCAGTGACAGGGCCAGTGAGGGGCAGGAAACCCCTCCTACCATCTCTAAGAGTGTGCCCCTGGGGGCGAAGGGCAGGGGGAGCGAGTTGTTCTGTAGTCAGGGCTAGTGACCTTCTTACCATTAAGGTCAGGTGACCTCAATGGAACTGCTTCTTGGGAGGGCTCTTAGTGACTCGGCTAGTCTATCAGCCACAGTTGGTCTCCCTGCCATCCCCAGGCATACCTGCTCCCTTAGGGATACAGAGGGGCTCCTGGTAGGAGCAGGGCAGAGAAAGGCTCAGAGAGACGGGTGCAGGCTGCCTGAGGATCCTTGTCTGGGTGAGACTGTGGAGCCCTCTCTGAAAAGCAGTGCCACCCAGGGGCCAACTCCTCTGCTGATCTTGGGAAGGACCCTACTTTCTTTCTCATGTTTCTGCAAGGGCAGGCAGGTAAAGTTCAGTCCCCCCTTAACTAGTTTCTTCTGCCAGTAAACTAACTTCTGAACACCCAGGCTGAGTGGGGTTTCCAGCTACCTGGTGGGGAGGCCGGGACAGAGCCGGCAAACTGTTGGGACCTGCTGCTGAGATTTCACTGGGAATGTCCATCTACAGAGAGACTGCCTTTTTCTTCCTGTACTTCGGCACTCCCTCAAAGCAACCTCACCATCCTTGCGTCTGGCAGAGGTGGCAGCTGCAGGACCAGGGCTCGAGGACATAGACTCCTCAGGGACACTGCTGTGGGCAGTGGAGACTCCCCTGGCAGAGCACTGCCGAGGAGGTGTCTCTTTCCTGCCTGATCTGGGTGGGAAAATCTGAGTCAAGCCCAGAGTGGAGCCAGAACCATAGAAAGGTCTCCTGTCACATTCCAGGCAGGAGGGCAGCAGGACTGGGAGAGTAGAGAACCCACGTCTGGGCCAAAGTTCATATTCTTAGAAATGCCTGAACCCTGGCTCCTGAAACCGACAGTCTTCCACTCCCAGAGGCTGTCTCCAGCGTGTCCAGGGAAAGGCCTGAGGCTGGCCTCCTAGTGTTTGGTGATCCTGCCTAAGGACTGTAGGGCTGAACCTGGCCCCCATGAGGCTCACTAAGTCTATCCTCAACCTTCTCTTTCCAAACCTCAGGGAGTGGGACTCAACCACGACCTCAGAGGGCTCATGAGGGACCTAGAGCTTCTCCAGCCCAGGCTGTGGGTGGCTGTGCTCTCAGGGGACTCTAGTACCTACCAGAGGCCAGTGTCCTCACAAAGCCACAGTGGCATGGTAAGGCCAGGATATCCTCCCTGGAAACCTGCCTTGTCAATGACTCCACGGGGGGTGACATACTGTTCCTGTCCATGTTCCTTCCTCTGGATAATTCTCCAGAGATGTGCCCACCTCTGGAGTTCACAAAGGCCAAGATAACTGATATATTGCTCTCATTCTTTACTGACTTTTTATAGTGACTCCCTTACATAAATGTCAAGCTGGCTTAGGCTGACGAGTAGCGGCCGCCTTCATGTTGTACCATAGTGAAAAAGATCCCCACTTCCCATCTGTGCTCAGTGGGGAAAAGTGCTGTGACTGAGTAGCAATGTCTGTCATGGGTGAGGGACTAGAGAGTAGTGGCATATTCACTGTGTTTTGCCTTCTCTGATGTTGCATTGTAGACTTTTAGAAGCACTTTCACATGCATCACCTCATTTGATTAGAAAATTGGTCTAAGAATGATGACGATTATTATTCATTTACAAAGGGAGATGTCAGGAGCAATGGAGTTAAGTGTGTCTTTTCCTAAGTCACCCACGTGAATCAGGGCCAGAGCCAGGGCGAGGTCCCAAATGTCCTGAGTCTAAGGTCAGTGCAGGGAAGACACTTAGATTGGGGAATGCTGGAGATCAACCTGCCAAAGTGTTCGTGTGTCTCTGGAAAATGAGTGCTTAGTAAATCTTCCCAGGCTTGAAATCTGCTATTCTGTATGCATATGTGTAGGGTGCTGGTAGGGACAGAGCGTGTGAAAGGGATGGGCTGCCCACGCAAGAGCCAAAGGCCCCTCTGCTTGCTTTTAACTAACAGTGGGCAGGCCTGACTCTGACTCGCCCCAAATTCATCACATTGGCAAGGCACCTCGAGAAGAGAAAAGGGACCATTTCAGAAACATCTCTAGGGAGCCACTCTGGACAGCCCTTCAGTTACCATGGAAACTCACCCTTGGAAACTGCTTCAATTTCAGGGAAATAGCTACAAACAATAATAAGCATAAATGAAAAATGGCACACTGTTACTTCAAAATTGTACTTGTTATTGGATTTCGCCGGGTTTTAGGAGCTGAGCGGCAGGCGCACATCCGTGAGTGCAGTGGAGGGCAGACATCGCCGCCTGGCCGCTGGCCTAATGACACAGCCCACGTCCTCCCTCCCGCCGCCCTAACCAAGTTTCTGGATGTGACCTCCGGGGAGGCATTCATCAGAGGAGCTAATATCTGAATTGTGGGAGGAAGGAGGATGTGCCTTGAAAAAAACAAACATCTGCTGAGCAGACCGGAAGGCAGCCCGGAGCCCCGTGGAGGGAAGCGTGGGCCAGGGCGGGACACTGCCGTGCAGGCCTCTCCAACCGACACCGACACACACGGGTCTCGCCTAGACAGCTTTTAACTCCCAGGCAGTGGGAGTAATAGCTGAGCTAGGAACCTCTGTTCTGATCTGTTTTCAAGGACTCTTGGGGTTGGAAAGGACCTTATAAAGATGACCTGGTCCAGCTCCTACCCTATGTGATGTTTCTATTCTCTTGGCAACATCCTCACCAGACAATTCCTGAGTTTGTGCTTAGGCTCTTCTAAGAGTTACACCATTTTTCCTGACACTGAGCTGAAATCTAACTCCCAGTAGCTTCTACTCATGAACAATCAGACCTCTTTGGGCAGTGACAACCCTGCAGCCACCTGGAGCCATTCTCCTGGTCCTTCAGCGTTTCCCACGTGGCAGATGTTACTGAGCCTCTCATGGCTGTTCTCAGAGCTCTCCAAGAGGACATGAAGTGGAACCCAGACCCTGACAGGGGAAGACTGTGTCACTAACTGTGGGCTCCTAAATCATACTTCAAAAATCACTGTGCCTATGCAGACCTGTATTTTCAGATCATTGCATTTATCCTGATACCTGCTCTCTGAAAGCAGCTAAAGCAAGCAAGGGGAAGAAAAGTTATACCCAGGGTCTACTGTATCACCTGTTAGAGATCCCCACTGCACAGATAAGTAAAAACGAGGTACAGAGAAGGTGGCTGACCTGCCCATGATCACCCATGATCACCCATGATCACCCAGAGAGAGAATGGAAAGGTCTGGACAAGAGCACCAGCATTCTGTTCCCAGTCTCCGAACCTCCCACAGGAAGGTCACTGAGCCTTGGGCACCCAAGTCCTGAGCTCTGTGTCCTAAGAGTGGGGGCCCCTAGGAGCCATTTTCAATGTGCACTTGAGTCAGACCTGGAATGACAGCCCACCCTGGGACATCCCTGGAATCCCGCCAAGGAGCTCCTCTGAAATGGGGAAGGCAGTCCAGTGATCAAGGAGGGCCTGCGGACCCCCACAGAAAAGAGCATTTTGGTATCTAGAGTCTCCATCCAGCCTGAGGATCTGATGTATAACAATGAAAGTCCTTTAGGGCTAGACTGCCATACAGCAACTTAGAGCAGAAAGTCACAAAGAATATCAACCGATCCTCCCAGATTCTTTCATCCACTCAGGGAGGCTCTGATCGGAAGGAAATGGCATGCTTCTGCAGGAGGAGCACTGTCTTTCCCAACAGAGCAGGGAGGAAGCCACCTCCCCCAGACACCAGGGCACAGTGGCAGCAAGGCACCTGCAGGCATGGAGGGGGGAGAGGAGAGGAGGGCCCTGAGGCCTTTTGAGGGGGTACGGGGCTGACTCACCAGACTATGCATGATGCGCACGCCATCGGGGTTCACCGTGAGCGCCTCTTTGTACAGCTGCTTGGCCTCCTCCAAGCTGCCCTTCATCTCGGCCAGCCGGCCCCGCATGTAGAGTACCGAGTGTGAGGTGGGGAAGAGGCCTGCTGCCTCCTGGATGCAGAAACCTGCTTCCTTGAGGTGCTGCTGCTCCATGAACAGCTCAGCTGCGAAACCAGGAGGAGAGGGGGAGGTGAGGGTGGTGGAAGTCAGAGGCAGCAGTCCTCTTGGTGGGAACCGGTCTCAGGTGATGGAAACCATCACCTCGAGTGGGCACAGGACAGGCTCTCTAGGGGGTGCGGGGTTAACACCAGGCCACGGTTTCTGAGTGCTCACTGTGTCAGGCACCGTGCTTCGTGCTCCACACAGACCGTCTCAGCCAGTGTTCACAAAGCCCTGGAGAGCAAGCACTGTCACTGACCCACTTCAGAGAGGAGGAAGCTGAGGCACAAATAAGGTAGGGAACTCGCCTGGGGCCACAGGGAGAGTGAGGAGCCAGGGTTTGCACTGGGTCCCCAACTTCAGAGCCCCCATGGGGGCACACGGGGTATCTCCTGGAGCTCGGCGATGGCTCAGGTGACTTTTTTCCCAATGTCTGTTGACGTCACTTGTTTACTATGTGTCCAGGGTAGGGGATGAAGGCAGATGTGGTGGCTTTCCTCCAGCGCTCAGTCTCCGGGGAGGGAGGCTAACAGTGTGCACAGGGCCCCAGGAGGAGCTCAGTGATCCTGCCAAGGATGGGCTGGGCAGCTGAGAAGGAGAGAGGCTCACAGAGCCCCCTGCGAAGGGGCAGAGCTGGGCTCCACCCAGGAGCGTTAGTAACAGCTCCCGAACAGCTTGCGATGACTGAGAGCTGGCTGCGGGCCAAGGCCCAACTGTGTGAAGCATCTCCTCTCATTTAATCCTCACAAGTCTGGGACGGAGGCAGGATCTCATGAGCCCCACGCTAACAAACCAGGCTGAGAGAGGACCTCATTCCCATCCTTCAGTGGGAAGGGGCAAGGCAGAGCTGGGCCCCCCAGGGGTTCCTCACCTCCCTCCAAAGGACTTTCTGCCACACTGAGAGGAGCAGAGGACACACATACAATCTGCCCCGCAACCAGTTTGCCTTCTTCCCCCGATCAGTGGGAAATGGGGCAGTTTCTCCAATCTTGGGCCAGCCCATATAAATGCACATTTCAAACCCTCCTGTGCAGGTCCACACCCACAGCAGGTGCTTTTAGCAACACAGTTCTTTGGGTTGCAGCGTGGCCTCATGGCCCACTCAGCCCTCCTCTCATGGTAGCCCCAGACCTGGCTGCCCCTCTTGAGGCTGGTGCCGGTGCACAGATGGGAGCACAGGAGGGCAAGCAAAGCCAGGCTTGTGACTTTGCCAAGAGCTGTTCCTAGCAAAGGCTGAGTAAGAGCTGAGGTTATATGAGTTCAGATTAGGTCTGGGGTGGGTTGGATAGCAGACATCCCAAAGGAAGCTCCCGGAAAGAGGTGGAAAACCCGGGCTCAGGCATCCTATCTTCCTGTTCTGAAAAGAAGCAGGAAGGAGGCCTAAGGCCAGGACCGGTGCTTAGCAAGAATGTTGCCTGAGGCTCATTGTGTAATCAAATAGCTTGCCACATCCTAAAATACTACAGAAGCTTTCAGAGCAAGGGTACTTTTTTCCTCTGGTGGAGATGAGAATTTGGGAGAATCAGAGAATTAATTAAACACAGAGAAGCCAGGTTCCCATGATAAGGCAAGAAAGAGAACTCCAAGTTCTTATTCCGAGACAGCCTGAACTCGATTTCCAAGGCAGAAAACACAGGGAGGTGAGCCCAGGAAGGGTAGGCTTTGAACCTGGAGTCTTGCAGGGAGGACTGGCCTGGTGGTCAGGAGTCTGGTTCTCAGCCTCAGCTCTGCTCTGCTGTTGTGTTTCCTTCTGGGGCTGCTGCCTGACGCTCTGAGCAGTCTGCCTTCATAACTAAGCGACCAATGTGCAATTACTGAGTACTGATGGTGTGCCTGGCCCTCCCACAAGGAGAAAGAGTGAAGCCACCAAACCACTGGAGTGGCCCAGGGCAGTGGAGTGACAAGTGCCAACTCTGAGTGTTCTGGGCACTCAGAAGGGGTCAGGTCAGCTGTGCTGGTGTGGCCAGGGAAGTCTTCCTGGGGGTGGCAGCATTTGAGCAAAGGCCTGAAGACTCAGGCCTTAGACTTGGACTGGCAGAGAGAAGGGAGGCTGTGCTAACCTGGAGGGGTGGGCTCCACTGTGGCAGAAGTCCCAAAGGTCACAAAGGAGAGGGGAGAAGCAGAAGGAAGTGTGGTGTGAGTGTTGGGGTGGGGAGGCCTTCCTGTACCAGCCCACATGGTGGCTTCCTCTATCACCAGGGCTTAGCTCAGAGGCCAGGCTCTCCACACCCCTAGACCTTGCTCCAGCAGGCCCGCCCAGGCCTGGTCCACCTGCCCACCTGGTCTAGGCATGGCTCATTAAGCTGTTTACAACCTGCTGCCCTATCTCCTGAGCTTAATCTCTGGAGGTTGTCCCCAGTCCCTCCCTTGGGGATTCCTCACAGTGCCTTGACATCAACAGATTTCAATCACAGGATCCCCACCTACCTCCTTCCTTGGAGCCCTGGGCCTTGTGAAGCTGGCCATACACCAGAAAACATGCCCTGAAAAATAGGTAGGGCTGCTTTGCTGCAATGGACTTCATTACCAGTTAGGCAGGAAACCAGATGACACAGAACAGAGCCAGAGAAGCGAGGTCTCCTGAGGGCTGCTGGCGGCCTTGTAGACAGCCCCTGGCAGGCCCAGCCTCCAGGGAGGAGCCTCTGACCTGCGGACAGGCTCACAGGTCTGGGGGCTGCAGTGTACCCCTCTGTCCTAGACTCAATCTCCCTGGGCAGTTATTTTACCAAATAGACAGCCGCATGGCACTGTGCCCACCCACTGCCCTGATCCTCTACCACCAGGCCCTGGCTGCCAGGGTCTCAAGGTGCCCACACCCATCCTGGTCTCCCATGGCCAGGGCTGGATGAGCACTCACTGTTACTGGATTTTCCTTAAATTCTCATAGTCGCGGTTATCACCCCAGGAAACGGGCCTTGCTGTCCCCTCGGTGTCAGAGGCCCCTCAGTTCCTTTACTCTCTCCCTACTCTGATTCCCGCTTCTCCCGTCTTCCTTTCTGCCTGCTCTTGACCTCCGGTCTCGCCTGTCTGTTTCAGCTTTTCTTCTTCTTCCCTCCATCTCTCTCCACCCGCCCCTCTCTGAGCTTTCTCCTGGCAGCCGCCAAATGGAAAACATCTGTTCCCTGGAGCTTTGTAACAGTGCCTTTTATTATTTTTTCTAAGGCATGCTGCTCTAACCCTGCACCCAGAGCTGGTTGTAGCCTTGCTGCCATTCCTGCCAATGCAGAGGCCTCCATCCCCCAAGGCTGGGGGATGGACTCACCTTCAAGGACTATCTGCACATCCTTTGCAGAGAGGACCTTGCCCTCAGGCTGATCAGGAGCCCAGGTCCACACCTAGGCCTTTTAGGGGCCTTCCCAAGCGAGATAGAGACCCTCTGTGAGACTTAAAAAAGGAGGGGGCCACCGGCTAAAAGGGCAGAGCTCTCCCACCCCCAAGGCAGGAGAGAAGTAAAGGTTGGGCCCTATAAAGAACCCACCTTAGCTAGCCTTGAGCCCGGGGGAGTCACCAAAACTGTCCCCTAAAGGAAATAAGCATCCTCCCCATAGAGCAGACCCTCAGGACATATGGTTAAGACACCCAGAATAAAGGAAGAAGGGTGGGAGGAAGAGGGAGGAATGACAGAGGAGACCGGGGAGCCAGAAGGCAAAATGCCCAGGAATAACTCAGAGGCCTTAAGGGTCTGGGTTGGTCTGAGACCCTGCTTATCTTCTGAGAGTGAAGGACGACAGGAGAAGAATGAGGAAGTCCGGATGCGGACACAGGTGATGCGGACCAAGGGTAAGACAGCTTCCTCCTTCTCTCCTTTTATAACAAATATGATCTTTAGACACACCCCTGGTTGCCCCCCCCACCCCCCAGTTCCCCAGGCTGCCCAGTTGGCAGCTGGGGGAGCTTCCACCTGCAGGGCCACCTAAAGAGGTAGGGCATCAGTACCCAGGCCTATGAATTTGCTATTTGGGAGCTGAGACGTGGGTCAACTTCCCTCAACTCAGGGAAAGCCAATGGTCCACCTGTGAGCCCCTGGGCCTCCAGGGGAGGGAACTCTCCCTCCATCCATCTGCCTCCCTCTAGCACACTGTGAGTTCCTGAGATGTGAGCAATAGTGAGAGAGCGAGGTGGGCCATCTTGCTCTCCTGGAAAGCACCTCTAGACACTCAGGGTCCTGGAGCATCTATGGGCCCGGTGCCTCTCCCGTACAGACCTGCTGCCAGAGAGGCAACATTTCTGAAATTCACCTCTCGAGTGGAAACCCTCTGTGAAGTTTCTCACATCAGACTGGAATGCGGAGGACACGTGAATAGGGGAGGGGAGGGCAATGAGAGTTGGGAGAGGAGGGGGGTTAATGATGGAACTTACTGCCCAAATAGACTGGGATGCAGTTTATCTTGAACCAAACCATGGGGGGATTAACTCATTCCAAAATGATAGAGGAGGCTATTTTTCCCTTCCTGCAAAATTGCTGCAGCTGGAATCATTAGGTGGGTGGGTGGGGGTGTTGATGTCAATACTCTTAGCCTGGGTCAGGTGAGCGAAGGGGCAGTAGTTAGGGAGAAGTTATTGTCTTGGTGACCTGCTCCTGGCAGCCCTTCATTCAACAGGTGCTCAGCACATGCTTGCTGGTGATGATGGTGGCCCGGGAGGGGAGATGGTTCACCTTTGCAGTTGGGTGTGGTCATGTGACTAAGTTCTGAACACTGGGTCCTAACAGGAAGTGATGTGTGCCAATTCCAGGATATGTCCCTAAGCGGGGAGTGTCCCCTTCTCTCACTCTTCCCCATTATGCCTTGAAATGTGGATGTGGTGGCGAGCCATGTTGGGGACAAGAGTGACAATGGGAGAGCAGAGCTAACAAAATGGAAGAGACCTGGGTCCCTGGACCAGGAGAGCTGTCATCCCAGACAAGGCTGCCATCTCTGACCTGCTATGCGAGAAAATGGAGCGTCTACCTTGTGGAAGCCACTACTATTTTGGGTTGGTCACACATACCTGAACTTTACTCCTGATGCCACACTGCCCAACCCTCACAGGGCACCATGTTCAGAGTACTCGGATTTTGTTCTCAGAGTTCTCTGTGGGCTGCAAATTGTTGAAGGGCTTATGTTTATACCAGTATTCCCATATCTAATTATAGGGTTCAGGAACGATGATAACCTTCCTCGGAGTTACCAGAACACACTGGCACCACTCACATAATGCAGTATACTGCGAAATGCAAGCAGGCTTGTAAAATGCAAAAACATTTTCATTTGCTGATGATTGTAAACAAGACACATCATTAAAACGAAAGGCCTCGGGAGCCTCTGGAATGGGGTCACTGTGTTACTGACATAGTCCTTGAAGTTGATGAGGCCCCCAGCACACCCCTCCAGAGCCATTATGGCTCCATATCTTAGAAGAAAACAGGGCAATATTTACCTAAGAGGAAGCTTTGTCTATTATTCCCCTGAATTTTTCAACATTCTTTTTCCTACTTAAAATGCAAGAAGCTGACCACGGAGCACAGCCCCAACACATCCCTAGCATCCTGACAGACCCTGATATAGTAACTGGGGCAGTATCTGCATTATTAAAATGCTTCCCTGTCTAACCTTTCTGTGAATCCTGGTCCAACTTTTTCTCCCATGTTCAGAACCTGCGGGGGGTGGGGGGAGTGGGGGCGTGCTGCATACTAATGTGTCCATATGTGAACTCCATGCAGCAGGAAAGCTTAGATTCTCAGTTAAGCACATTCTAACTCTAACTTGCAAAACCCACATGTCCCAGGAACTGATCATCTACTTTGGGTCTCTTTCCCATCTTCCCTCGGGGGCTATGGGCACCACTTCCTTGGTAGAGAGGGGGCAGGTAGGAGGGTAATGGGGAAAAGGAGAGGGGCTTCACTTGGGCAGATCACAGACAAGGAGGCATGTGGGCCTGGCGCATTTTTAGGATTCCATTCACTCTATCACCTTCTCTATTTTGCGGCTGCTGCCATTTTATCTCAGGCACATCTCCAGCCTTGACTCTCTCTTTTCACTCTAGTCTACCTCTCACACCATGGTCTGATTAGATTTTCAATCACTCCAGGGAGTCACTCCTTGGTATTCCTTAGTCGAGCACCAAGGACAGTCACTGTTGGTGGTGCCATGCTGCCCCTATGCCCACGACCAGAGTGGACAAGACAGAAGTCAAATGCCACTTACTGAGCACCTACTATGTGCCCCACACTGCACTACCTGCTTTACCCACATTAGCTCATTTTAGATCAGGACAGGCAGGGTTGAGCTGGTATTATAACCCAGCTCTTTGTGACTCTGAAGCTGCCTTCCTCCCCAACACTGACCCTCAAACTCCACGGTGGCAATAGTGCTGAATAGCTATCAAGAGGGATTGTCTCCTAAATGGCAACCCTAGTGTTACCACCCTTGCCTTCAACGAACTCTACCACCATTCCTCCCTTCCTGGGGGCTGCCAAACCTCACCTCTTCTCTAGCTATTCTGTGGGCTCTTGGGGCTTGAGCCTAACTAGTTTCACTCAGGAGAAGCTGGGTAAGAAGAAGGAATGGGGCCTGTTGTTGAGAACTTTCCTCTAGTCCTCTCCCATTTGTATTTGCTGCCAGAGAGCTTCTCCCAGGTAGGCAGGCAGGTGCGTACGCTGTCCCCACTTGGGGAGAGGAAACCCAGGACCAGACAGATTAAGTGACTTTTCCTGGGCCAAGCAAAGAAAGAGCTGGAACTAGAGCTCTGGGTTCCTGATTGCCAGGCCTTTCCATGAGGAATGAAGCCCATGTGAGCCTTGTCAGGGGTCCCTACCATCCTATATACTCCATTCTCTAGGACAGGACACAACCCCAAAAGCCTGGTGGCCTGTTGGTAGGTGCGTGGGTATCACTGGGGCCAGGGACACTCACCAGCTTGGAGCCAGATCTGTTCCAGAGTGGTCCACAGCTGCATGGGGCCCTGCTTCAAAACAGAGCTGGGCATGGTCAGCTCTGACATGGCCTCCTCTAGCCGGGAGGCTGCAATGGACGATGCCCGCCGAGAGCCTGCAGAGCAAGAGGGGAAGGGTGCAGAGTCAGCGTGCCATACACCGCAGGCCCAAGGAGAAGGGACTGCTCAGCCCCATGGGTAGAGAGGGCACTGAATCAGGGCAGGTGGCCACCAGACAGCTCACAGAGCCACCAGGAAGGGCCGCCTGGTCCCCTCATCCACAGCTGGGGGGAGGAGCTTTAAAGGGAAACAGGCAGCGAGCCCACTTCTAGGAGTCCATCCCTGAGGAACACAATCATAAACGTCGGCAAAGCTGCTCGCTCTACTACTGCCCGTAACCTTGACACTGACTGAAATGACCAAATGTCCAACAGCAGGAACTGGTTAAAAACAAGTGAGGGTATAATCATACCAGACTATGCAGTTATTCAAGTAACAGTGCACGAATATGGCCATCGATGCGGACACCTATAGTTAGGTGAAAAAAGCAGGCCGGAAGAATGACTGCATTGTTTTAAAAAAGAAATACGGGTCTAGGGAAAAGTCTGAATTAAGGACTTTATTAAGGACTGGTGGCGAATTATGGGTGATTTTTCTTCCTTTTGCTATTTTTGCTTTCTGTTTTCACAAGTGCATATTATTGCTTCCTACACAAAAATGTCCCATCTGAGGTTGTGCTGTGAAGGATCCTTGGGGAGCAGCTCAGGTCAGACCCCGAGCCCCCTGGAGAACCTCTCCCTGTGGCAGTTCTGGGTGACGTGGCTCCCTGTTTGGGATACGTGAGCTGTTGACATTTATGATTCACAGGCAGGTGAAATGTGAGCACTTTCTCTCTCAGAGGCAATAAAGGGTCCAATAAACTCAGGAGACCTCAGGGCAAACCACAGATGATTTCAGTTTGTAAGATGAATGCACACGGAATCCTAATAATTTGCTCGTGGTTCTTTCCCCTTTCATCGCAAGGGCGAGATGCCCTCCTTCAGCACTCACTCCTTGGAGTCAACAGCTTCACATGCAGCCCGCACTTCTCAGACGCGCTTCTCAAGTCAGCTGCTGGGCTTGGCAAGGGAATCAACACCATCACTTAACAACGAAGGCACAACTTGGTCCATGTCCGCAGAAGTGGAAAAACTGAGCAAGGCCACTAAACACGACTCCCTCACTTTCACTCCTGTGACTAATCCTTCTTGTGTCTTGAGGAATGTATTCTTCTTTATTCAGGTCCTCAGGTAAAAGTCAGCTTTGGGCTTAGAGTTGTAAATATACGCTCAGCTCATTCCTTCCTACTAAGGATGTCCTAAAGGCAGAACTTGACCTCAAGCTGTAGCCTAAGAGGAAATGCTTTCTATGCTCCATGGCTGTCATTTGATCCCACTATCCCCTCTTGGCCTCCACTCAGGAGGTAGAGTCCCTCCCTTGCCTACTCCAGCTGCCCATTTCCCATCCCAGGCCTAGTAGCCAATTGGTTCCAGAGCCATACTGGGCCCTGAAAGATGCCAGAGGGCAGCTCCTTAGCACAAGGCCCTAGGGCAGCAGCCAACAAGGAGCAAGCTGGGAAATGCCATTCTCCCAGTTCATGCACAGGCTGGGAGAGCAAGCTGTGGGCCCACGTAGATAGCTGCCCAGGGGCACGTTCTTACCGGAATCTGCATCGTGGGCATCGGGCAGAGTCAGGTGCATGCCACTCTGCTTCTTCAGCGTGAGGCCCTCACCGAGGCTGCCATCCTTTTCCAGGCCTCTGGAAAGCAAGAGAGGGCCAGGCCCCAGTACAGCTGAGGGCTCACAGGGAGAACGAGGGAGCCTCCTTCCAGGCAGGCTCTGGGGCTGCAAGAACAGCCAAAGCGGGACCAGCAGGAAGGATGGAGACAACCAGAGTGGCAGGACAGGTCGGGGCTCAGGCTTGGGATGCTAGAATCTGGCTCACCCCAGAGGCTCAACTGACGTGGGGTGCTCCCCATCACTCACACATATGTACACTCGCTGCCTGCTGCGTGCCTGTGGGGCCATCAGTCTCCTCACTATTCCCAAGTTTCATTCCCAAAGCTATGCGCTTGCTAATGCTGCAGACACCAAGAATGTTCTCGCTGCTCTTCTTGGTCCACCCTAAACCCCCATCCCTTAGAACCCAGCCTGAGTGCCTTTCATCTGTCTAGAAAGCTTCTTGTGGCTCCCCTGCCCTTCATGGGGCCTTCCTTCCCTCTTGTCCATCAGCATGGATCCTCGCACCACAGATGCTGAGGCTCAGAAACTCTCCCCTTCTGGCCAGAAGCTCCCCCAGGCCTCAGGGAGGCCTTTCTACCCTTTCCAGCCCTCACATGTCTAGCTGAGGGCCATGTACAGAGCAGGTACTGAGGGCTGGCTTCCAAGGAAAGCCTGGTCCTCAAAGGCTACCAGAAGTGTCCCCAGCCCACCCCCCCAAGGGAAGAAGGTCCCAGGTGCCACTCTCGCCTCAGGTACCCTACCCTGGCTGCCAGGGTGGCCTCTGGCAAAGGGGACCTCTGGCATGGAAGATAAAAAAGCAGGTCCCTGTAGCTCCTACACTGCTAGGGAGGTTCCTCTTTTCTCAGAGTGGGAGGTTGGAGAAGCTCCCAGCTCAGAAAGGCAGCATAGCCTCCTGTGCCCTTTAACTGCCCCTGCCCATGCCAGGGATGCCCATGGCCCTTGAACCTGCTGCTTGAGGAAGCTCAGAGGAGGACTGAAGTGGAAGGGGGAGAGAGAAGGCAGGCACAGCCTGAGGCCAGATGCTTCTCCCCTTCAGGGGGGTGCCAAGGTGATGGTCCCACAAAGAATGCCAGAGCCTGGGGTATCCTTGCCATTCTAACTCAGGCTCACAGTGGCCTGAACGTGGGCCTGTAGATACATAGCCATCTTTATGGGCATTAGAGGAAACCACCCACAAAAGCACAGTGTGTCAGGTCTGGCTCCCGTCCTCTCCCATCCTCTTTTCTCAGGAGGTGCCAGAGTGTGGTGCCAGAGATTAAAAACACAAGGCCAGCCCTAGCCGGTTTGGCTCAGTGGTTAGACTGAGGACTGGGGGGTCCCGGGTTTGATTCTGGCCAAGGGCATGGACCTCCTTTGAAGACTCCATCGCCGGCCCTGGTCAGGGAGAGTTCGGAGGCAACCAATCAGTGTGTCTCTCTCACTTCGATGTTTCTCTCTCTTCCCCTTCTTCCACTCTCTTTGAAAAGCAATGGAAAAAATATCCTCGAGCGAGGATTAAAAACAAACAAAAAATCCCTCAAAAAACACAAGGCTACCCCTTCTTAGCTGTGTGACCCTTGGCAAAGCCACCTTTCAAGGTGAGCTCAAGATAAGTTGTCTCGTCTTGAAATGAGAGTGAGAATATTGATCTCACAAGGCTGTTGTCAGGAGCATATGAAAAAATATGGGCAAGTGCCCAGCATGTGCTGGCTTGGAACAGATCCACAGGTACAGCTTCTGCCCCACCTGCCCTCCCAGCCCCTGAAGAGGCCTCTTCCAGGGCTCCAGAAACAGCCCATCTCGGGGACCTTTTGCCATTTGGTTCTAGGCCAATATACAGTATTGCTCCTGCCCTAAAGAATCTGGCGGCCAGATGGGGAGAAGAGACGGTAGAAGTTGAGCAATCAGCATGACCCAGATGGAGAGGCTGAGCAGAAGCATGAGGCAGGGTGACTGGAGGAGCCATGAGGAGGGGCATCCGAGCAGGGCCTGTGGGGCTGTGTGGACATGCGGGAGCAAAGCAGGAGGTGGGACAGCGTAGGCCAGACCCTCAGGCTGTGGATTCTGGCCTTGGTCCTTAGCTGACCCAATCTAGATTTCACAAGCCCAGTTTCTGTGCTGTGGCTCCAGGTTGAGAAACAATGTTTTCTATTCTTGGGAAAGCCTGGAGGGTACTGGATCCAGGCCTCTTGTCCCAACCATTTGTCTCCAGGTAGCCAGCCTGGCTGAGCCCTGCCTCACCCTGAAGGTTCCCCAGGAGAAGTGCCTAGGGAAGGAGCTCCATCAGGTCCTCAGAGCACAGATGAGTGTGAGTGGTGGCTTGAAAAGGCCCCAAGGCAGGCAAACTCCACTGACCCTACAGCCCTACAGTTCTTCAGCCCAGGGGGAGCAATAATGGGCCTTATATGCCTGGAGAGAAGGCTGCAGTGCTGAGAAAGCCAGAATGAGCAGGCAACTAGCCATCTAGCTAAGAGGGGTCCCTGCCAGCTCCAGGGACAATGGGAGCCAGGTTGTGCCCCTGCCCAAGTGGCCACAGCCAGTAAATTGTAAAATGAGGTGCATCTGAACATAGGCCCCCTTACACCAGAGTCTGCCCCTCACCTCACATTAGCCAGGTGGCTCCCCATTTTCTTTCTGAAAAGTCCCTCACCCCAGAGCCTTCTTCTGGCAGCTTCCACCCATTGGTTCTGCTCTGCCCTGGAATTTTCCAGGCCCCAAGCCTTCAAGGAGAAGGCTGACCCTACCCTGCCCAAGAGTTTTATTACATGGGATTACCCTGGGACCTCCTATGTAAATTTCACCATTAGAGAAAGGCCTCTGGGGACTGTGAAAGTCTTCTGGGCTCCCAGAGTCCCTGTGAAAATGCAAATACATCCACTAGAGTTGGGTTCCCCTGAGGCCCTAGGGAGATGACACAGCCAGCAGTCCCCAAGAAGGGGGAGGAGGTAGGGTCCAGAGGACCAGGAAGAGGCAGTGCACAGCACCGCTTGACGCCCTTTTCCACTTTGGGCTCACAGGCTGAACCCCAACATCCCAGGGGGTTTGAACAAAGACTTTCTGCAGATTCAGCCTGGACAAGAGTACCCTGCTGTGGCCCAGAGAAGGCCCAGAGCCCAGGCTGGGGACTGTAGCAGGAGACAGGATGAGTAGAGACAGTGGGTGAGTGGGGCGGGGACCTTGTGGAATTCTGCTTCCTCCTATTCTTCTGGCTTTCAAATGGAACCAGGAAAGAAGTATCAGACTCCACAGGCTGGGATGCAGGAGACCCAGGTCCAAGCTCCAGCACTACCACTTACCAGGCAAGCAGCTCTGGCAAATTATCCCAGGTCCCTGGTCTCAGTTTTCCCACTGGGGTGAGAATAAAACCTGATGACGTCTAAGGTGTAAGCAGCTGAGGTGGAAGACAGAGCAGCAAGCCCAGGACCTGGCCCAGATGCTCAGTAATGATTCTCTCCCTTCCCACCCCTCTGAACCCCAGTCTCCTAAATAGGTTCCTTATGTACTTCACAGAGGATTGTCACAAGGTTAAAATTAGACCAGGGATGTAAAAGGCCCAGGAGCAGCAAGTCCCACACTCTCATTCAAACATTCTCATCAGCCCCATCCACCAGGCCTGTGGTCGCTCTGCAGTGGGCAGTTGCCCTGACAACCACCTCCTGTCAACTCTGGCACACCCAAGGGACAATGACAGCCACTCACCCCAGCTGAGAGAAGTTGTACAGGGTCTGCCACAGTCGCAGCATTTGTCTGCAGGTCACGAGGGCTTCCTCTGGGCCCTTCAGTACCTGCTCCAGCTTCACCTTGGTGAACAGCAGGCTACGGAGAGAGAGAGTGACAGTCAGCACACCCCACAGGAGGTTCCCTTTCCCTGGCTTTCCTCCCAGGGTGGGACCCCAAGAGGGTCCAAACCCCATCAGAGCAGCCCCCAGCCCACTTCCCCAGCCCAAAGAAGGCAGAGTGTCTAAGAACGTGGTGGCCTCGGCCATATCCCTGGATCACTGACTCTCTCCATGCCTCAGTTTCTCCCGAGTATCTGTGCTAATGCATGAAGCACTCTTCTGCATTCACCAGTGTCTACACTGCTCATCCACTATGCCCTGATCATAGCCTATCCTGTCCCCAGCTCTGAAACACTGTCAAGCATGGTTACAGGTCGTGCTTGCATGTCCTCACTGAACATGTGGCTATCTTTATCCTGACATATCCCACTGGCCCAAGATGGGTCTGTATAAGAGACAGACCCAGAAAGCAACTCTGAGTGAAGGAAAGAGGCTCAGCAAGAACTAGTAAAAAGGTCACTAAAGAGCAGAGTCCTGCTTTCCACCTTGCCAGCACACAATAGCTCAATTAGCATCTTCTCAATTGAATTACAAACTTTATTTCCTGACCCTGGAAACACGAGGACATTCATGTTTGACTTTATCAAAGGATTCTTCACTGCATTTGCTAAAATAGCCTGGTCCCCTTATATATTCAACAGAATTAAAGCTACATGAGGTCCTAGTCAGTCACCATTTAGGAACACAGTTACTTGCAAAGGGAGACAGCAAACTCAGTATCTCTTTCAACCTGAAAACCAGAAGTCCTCTGATGTAAGGATGGTATGGGGATGTGGCCCTCACTGGGGCTGGGAAGAGAGGAAAAGAGCTAGTTCCATGGGGAAACGGGGCTACAGGAGGGGCAGATGGCTACTTCCCTCTGACCAGGACACAGCAGAGACCTTTGGAAGACTGGCTCCAAGGGCTTGGGTGAGGCGTGGACACCCTGCTGTGCCAGGGGCTAGACTTTCAGTTGGGGAGATCTGGGGACACTTAGGAGGTTTAAGGCAGTGGCTGTTTACCAGTGGGTATGGAGATACTGCAGTCCTTTACCACGGGTACTGCCAGCAACACAGAGGCATACCAGCGGCCCAGGGCAGACTGGTTGAGCCGTGGAGGCCCAAACAAGACTGAGCCTCCTGCTGATCACCAGGTGGTGAGCAGTGAGGCCCTTTATTCCCAGCATGGCTGTTGGGCAAACCCATGTGACTGTCAGGCCCTGAACTTGATTGCTGCTGGGTGGTTCCGCCAGCCCACTTGAGGTTGGCACACAGGCCCTCATGGAAGCCGGGTCCTCCATCTCAAGAGGGAGCATCCCTGTGACCTAGGGGTGCAGCAGGGGGCCGGCCCCAGAGAGGCCAGGAGTTCATCTGGGAGCTTTCCCCTCTGACCTTTCCCCTCCCTCGCTCAGGGCCCTGGCCTCCCCTGCTCGTACTGAGACCTCCCGGCTCATGAAGAACTTTGATGGCCACACTCTGCTCCTTTCTCTTCACACCTTGTGTTCCGTAGATTGTGACTTGTCAGTAGATAGAGAATGAGAGGGTGGAATTTGGCCCAGCCCTCCTTTTAGAGGAGGGGGCTTGGGGTATGGGCAAGTATTTTTCTTCCTCATTTTTCCTCAAACACACCACATGCCTTTTGTGCCCTGCACACAGGGTACCACCCCCACCCTATGTGCTTCTCCTCTCCATTTCCATCCATTCCCCTAATACTCATGCTGGACTTTAAACCTCACCTACCTCAGGAAGCCTTCCCACACTCTCAGGATGCCCTGCTGACCTACAAGGTCCCACAGTGTAGCCTGCGCAGGCCCGAGCAGGAGTGTGGGCTCAGTACCCCAGTGGGCAGCTGCTGGGGAGATCTGGTCTTGCCACCCCCGCTCCCCTTTCCCCGATTCTCCGAGTGGCCAACACTCCACACGTACTAGGAGCCTGTGCTTTGGAAACATGAAGTGAAAGACAGTTTCTGCCTTCAAGGTAAGTTAGTGCTACAAATGACAACTTGCCTAGAGAATCAAGCGCTGTATTTCTGGATCAGACTCAGTGCCAGGAAAAAACAGAGAAGGGGTCTTGCTGGTATTTGATGAAACGGAGGGTGAGATGGGATATAGTTAGGAGTGGGGGAAAAGAGAAGTATGGGGGTGTCATGGGGGGAACAGTGGCTGGAGCAGCAGGTGTGAGGGAGGAGTGAAAGCCCCTCCCTGGGGGAGGAGGAAACATCCAGGCTCACGTCCATTCCAAGCTGCCCCCTCCCCTCAGAGAGCAGAGTCCACTGGGCAGGGCCACTTGGTCTGGGCTGGTTCGGGGACAGCTTTTGGGTAGACCAGCCCTGCAGCATTCCCCTAGTACCCAGTCTGCCCAGACATGCCTCCTCTTCAGCTCTCTTCTCGGCTACGGTGCCTCCCCTCCTGCTCCCCGCATCCCTGGGAGCCAGGATGGGGCCCTGGCAGACCTGACCAATCACGTGCCTGGAACAGAAGTGCTGGCATTACAGTGACTGCTACCAACACAGGCTGCTGTCCTCGAGGCTGCTGACATTCCATCAGCAGGAGTGACCATAGCAGAATTTCTCAATCCAACCACATCCTTTCCGGGCTAGGGCAAGCACTCCAACAGTCACCTCTGGTTAGACCTTTCACTCTGAGATCCTGGGAGGCTCTAGATTAGCTCCTGAGATCTCCTTGGTGTCACCGTTCAGCAATGCCAGTGAGAACTTCCTCAACAGCAAGCCCCGTCCCGACTGTCTGACATCAATCCAAATGCCTGTGTGTGCCACCTTCCACTCTGGCCACCCGTCTGCATGACCTCAGGGACCCGAGCACTGCTCAATGGGTATCAGTAGCTCCCTGAACTTCAGGACAGGCTCCTGGCCTCATCCATGCTCTGCTTCGTTGTCGCCCTGCTGGGACTAACCCTTCTCCCTTCAGCATCCGGCCAAGTCCTTGCCAGATGTTATCCTCTCACTGTGTCCCCATGGGGTCTGTAAACAACCCCCTCCAGGACAGACTTCACTACATTGGGAGGTGCTTATTCGTACACTTGCTGGCGTGCCTCTAACTCACCGCTAAAGTCTCGCCCCTCTTGCAACAGGGATCAGCAAACAATTCCATTCTCTCCAAAGAAGCAACTCTGCTGCTCTCCTGACTAAGACTATCAAATCCACAGGCCTGTCAGAGCTCAGGGCTCCCTCTCCATCCCCTCTGCCAAGACGGGTGGCTCAGTTTTTCAGACAACGGCATGAGAAGGCTGGCAGAGCCCTAGTGGGCCACCCTGGCTGGTGGGAAACACTTTTGGGCCCACACAACAGGCTACAGCCTCATCAGAGAACTGTGCTTCCTGGGTGTGACACGGGGAGGCTCCTAGCAGTGGGGGGTGGGGTAATATGAGGGGCAAGCCTGGCTGCCCAGCCCCTTCAACCAGCCCTGGCATACATTTTATATACTGAATGGATCTAAACTGTCATTTGAAGAAAGAATTCTGAGGATTTAAGAAAGTGCACTATTTTAATCCAGTGGCTCCAAGCCCTCCTCCTATGAAAAGTCCATATGACCACCCTTCTCTGAATGTTCCAGACAGTCTGCAGTTAGCCCTTAATTACATTACATATATATTTCTTCTTGCTGCATAGGCTTATGAGTTTAATAATGAAGATAAACTCACATAAAGCATTTTAAAATTCAGAACAGTTTGTGGATAGTCTTGCCTACAGATGGTAAAACCACCATTTATTTTGTCATGTGTCTCACAGTGGGTTCCCCACCTGAAGGACAGGGCCCTGCTTCTCCCCACATCCACATCGTCCTAGCTTCCCCAAGTGCCTGGCCCGGAGCTGAGCAGTGTCCGCTTAGTACTGTGAAAATGTGTGTTACTATAACCATCTGGCCCCTGTCTAGGCCTCACAATCCGTGTTAAATCAGAGCCGATTTCTGGCACCACTTCCTGCTGCTGGGCCCCGGCTAGGAAGGTAGGAGAGGGACCTGATCACCTGCTGATTTGTAACTGCAGTGAGCTGGACTCACACAGCCAGCGAGTAGCACGCTGGGCGATTCCTTTTTAAGCTGTCCAGAAGCAAAGCTGTCCAGGGCCTGGGGAGGAACAGGGAATTCTGGACACAATGTGAAGATGCCTGGCTCCTTGTGACTTGGGGGGGGGGGTCTTCATCCCAGAGGACCCAGGCAGGGCCAACAGAACCACCGGGAAGAGTCTAAGACAGGAAGGCCTGGAATACTGGAATCACACCCAAGAAGGAATGGCTGCATTGCTATCCTTAGATCCCGCACTGTGACCTCGCTCAGAGTGGACAGACACTGGCCGAGGAGTGAGAAACCGGAGCCAAAGTCCCAGCTCTGTGGCTGCCCAGCTGGGCATGTCACAGGTTCCAGACCTGTGAAATAGGAGTGAGGTCTCCTGCCCAGCCTGCCCAGGGATCCCACAGATGAACTTTAGTAGCAGCTGAGAGCCCACAGCTGCAGTTAGTTCTCAAGCACAGGCCTGTGCAAGGCTCAGGGAAGGGGCTCCTGCTTTGAACCTGCAGACCTAGCAGACTCGGAAAAGCAGTTCCCAGGCCAGGTGCTGCTGAAGGCTCTCAGAAAGCCCCCGAGCTCATGGCCTGTTTGGCAAGGCAGGTGGTCCTCCTGGTGGCTCCTGGGACCCCAGCTCGGTATGAGGAAAGGATAGAGGGATGGACAGAACCACAGCAACCTCAGCTGTGAGCCCCTTTTATAAGCACTTTCCTGTTGAGCTCACACACCCCCTGAGAATGCCACCCAAGCCTTGACAGCCAGCAGGCACCTCGGCCCAGGCTCCGTGCTCCCTCAGCCCCTCGTCTACCACTGCGCTCTGATCAAGGCGGACACCTGCCACCTCCGGAATCACCTTCAGTCCAGCACTGTGGGTGGGTGGGGAGTGCCCCTGCCGAACAGTGAAACATCTCAGCCCTGCAGAGTCTGTGTGTCTGCCTTGCCTGGGCCAGCCCCTCTCCTGTGGGGGATGGCAGAGA